GATGAGCTGTCAAAGCTTCATCTGATTGGCAAGACTTTATAGGCACATTCGAAGGTTCTCAAATTGGCGCGCTCTGTTGACATAGGGCAGATTGCAGCGAGCGAATGGATTCGTTTCGAAAAGTGGTTTTCGAAAATGCTCATTTCTCGATGCATAGCAGCTGAGAGCCCTGTTTGATTTGCCTTTGAACCGTTTCGCCGTTTGGAACTCATCTTTTCTCCTCTCATTTGCCTAGCTTTAAAATCTTTAACTTTCTCCAGGCAATTCTTACTCATTACTGTTCTGTAGAGCCGTCTGCCACTTCCAACGATGCAATAGCCCGTCGTCCAGCTGCTCATGGGAGTAGTTATCTGTAGTAGTGTTTTTGTTGACTAATATTCAGATTTTTTCAGAGCTATGGCGCTTCGTGCAAATCAGAGTGAAAATGTCCCAAAGGTTGAGATGACTGAGGAAGCTCGCATCAAGCAGTACAAAAATGTCGCAAGGCACGAGGTACGATATTGTATGTGTTGCCAGTGGGTATGTTCCGCTATTGCCTGGTCGTGTTAGGTCTGGGAAGGCTCCCCCACTTTCTTCACGATTTGGGGCGCGGCCGAGTTGATAGTGCCCGCGAACTGTGCTGATGGAGTGTTTTCAAACCTACCCGCACAGTTCGCGGGCACTACCAACTCGTCCGCGCTCGCCGCGGCCGCGCCCCAAATCGTGAAGAAAGTGGGGGAGCCGGTCTGGGTAAGGCCGCGGTCATACTTTGCGATAGCCTTGCGCTTCGAGTGTGGAGCAGATCCATATCGACAGTTACCGCGCGATCGATACTTATCTACTCCACAAGCGAATTGCAAGGCAGTTACAAAGCGAGACCGTGGGCTAATATGTTTAGGACGAATTACAGTGTGACAGTAGATGTTTCTCTCCAATCGCGCTTGGTTGAGCACTTTTGTGAGTGAAGCACCTCAGTAGGATGAGTGCTCTTGCCGGCAAATAAGTAGTGTTTTTTCGCTTCGTGGCCGAAGAGTTTTGTACCAGTTCGACGCGGACAGCGTCGTTACGGCTCATCTATCAAACGAAACCAAAGTGTTCTGAAATTGAATACTTTTTAGGACATGCGACGCCGCAGAAACGAAACCAGTGTGGAGATTCGCAAACAGAAGGGCACCGAGTTGCTGATGAAACGTCGAAATCAGTTGGTCGAGGATGAAGACGAAGAAGGGGAGCTCTCAGATTTGGATGTGAAAACGATGCCTGGTTAGATGACCGTTTTGATTGCCCTTCCTACTCCGAGACTGATAATCTTTGTTCTTCTAGCATCGGCTAATAAGCTCTCCAATG